TACATTGGGTCAAGCCACAGGTTCATGGTCTTTTTCAGGGTATTTCAGTTTTTCCGATTTTTGACCCTTAATTTTTGAATTTAATATTTCCAACCAGTGAATTTGATAAACTATTCTTATATTCTAAGATCTACTGATTTCATCTGAAAGAACAATTGAAAATGTCATTTTAAGGGGTAACTTTTTCTTTAGGGGTAATATTTTAGTAATGGTCTTAGTTTTGAGCCAATTTAGGAGGGAGACTCCAGATTTTTTCCAATCAGTCAATTTGATAAACTGTTCTTATAATCTACTGATTTGATCTGAAAGAACGATCCATAATATGTAATTTACTGGGTTAATTTGCTACTAGGGGGTATATACAATGTGTACAAACATTCTATTGATGGTTTAATTTTGAGCACACACATTATATTCTCCCTCATAGAAACATGCCACTGAAGGTAACCAATATGTTACTGAGCCAGACAGTGATATGTAGACCCATCACTTTGTATATTAACTTAGACAGATAACTGACACCTATGTTATCTGAAGCACCTACTCCTTATCTGATAGGATTATTGTCACCTGACACAGGTAAGTTTACACCCGAGTGATCAGGTACAGGTATCTACAAACTCATTAGGGTTTTCACCTGTTATACACCTATATATACAGGTAACAGATATACAGGTATAGTGCATGTGATCAAGAATAAATGGAGTCTAGAACATTATGATCTGTGTAACATCTTTCTGGTATAGGTTTCATCCCTCTCTCCCTTTCTCTCCAAATTTACAGTTTTTATTCATTTACATTTGGAGTTTTAATTAAACGGTAAAACTGATTAAATCTGACCCCTGATTTTTCTGACATCCTGTTGCTTGGTCATCTGTGGAACCTAGCTTTACCTATGACTTCAATAAGTACAAATTTTCAATGTCCCTTTCACTTTTTAAGGTAATAGGATTGTGTCGCCATTTCTCAGTAGAACTTCTTCAAATTTTGTAGTTATATTGCTTTGAAGGAAAGAAAATTGTCTGCCACAAAAAATATATAGGTTGTCATAATTTTAAGGAATTTAAATGGAAATTTATGTAAAAAGGAGTGACTTTTGAAAAAAAAAAAATGAAAGACACAATCTTCTGCAAAATAATGTCAATAAAAATGATACTACCATAGATTAGTATTGCATTAATGTATATCAATTTAATAAATGCTGAAATTATGTCAAATAAATTATCTATAAACGATTAAAAATTGACATTTTATAATAAAACCATATGCACCTAGTAATTGCAGGTAAGAGTTATCTTCCTTGAAAAACTTCACAGTAGTGAAATAGGTAGCCGGTTTCCTGAAGTACAGAAAAATGGAAACATGTAGCTCATTGATAAAAAAACACCTGAATTAATGCCTGCACTGCTTTGAAATACTTTAATATTGAGAGAAAACACTGTTCTGTCAATAATAAACATACAATATTCATCAGTTTAACATTAAACATTAGAATATGCGGAAATTGTGATACTGTCTCCCTACATTGGATTTTCAACTAGGGATGTACTTCCTACTTCTGTTTATCAATACACTCCTATGACCTTCAGAAAAATATTTGAAGTCTTCTTCTAACAATCATCAAATCCCTTAGTGACATCAAATTCTGCTGGACTGAAAAACTTACGTTTTTTATTCAAAGTTTGACTTGTATAACTGTCATTGATGTGCACACCATATAAGCTAATTGCATAACTTCTATATTTTATATATGGGTGGGCTTATTACCAAGCATGGGCTTATCTGACGGATAACTGTGGTAAGATATGTGATAGATATATAATGCAAATGTAACTGCACAGTGATTGTACAAAGACAGTACCCTATATGAAACAAAAAGATTGTTTCTTTGCTTGTACACAATGCAGCCATTCAAAGCCAAGGACAGTCATCTGGCCAACCACATTAAAACAACTACACAGGAAATGCTGAGGACAGATCTAAACAGAAGCCCCTTTAATACAGAAGGGGGCCCCTCTTAACACAGAAGCCTTTTTAAACACTTATGTAAGTAGTATCACCATCAAACACTTCTGGACAACACACAAAGAACAATCTGTGCTACTGTGCAGAGATCTAGTCAAAGGTACCAAGTCTCCAGTACAAATCTAGTTTATTTTATTACAGATAGCAACTAACAAATGTACTAAATGTATTAAAAAAAAAAAAAAATTGGGTAATATCTGTAAAATTGTCGTGGTTGTAATGCAGACAGTAAACCAAGATCAAATGTCAAATGTTTACAGTGCAGTTAATCACAAAACTTGGTCAAGTGAGACAGACCAAGAGACAGACAGTGCAGTTTTATCTGATTATCAAACGGTCTATCTTTTGTGTTTATAACTTGTGAGTGTACAGCTGAACTTTATAATCTACATAATTTGACTGATCATTCAGAAAATTCATATGTGACCAACAGTCACAAGTCACCGAATTTAGAGATCCCTACAAAGTACTCTACAAAGTACAATATCACGTTACTTCTATGAGGATTCCAAGTCGTTTATAGTATCATTTTTGCCTGCCAAGTCAATCATGCTACTTCAACGTTGAGCTGTTATATTTTAAGTCAAAATTAAATGGTTTCAAGTGTACTGCAAACACTTGTGATATTGAAGAGTGACCCAACACAGTTTACAAATGATATACTGAACATGACTTGAGTGGGTACCTGGTATGATGAGGGGGTGTCCGGATGTGTTCTGGTGTGGGTTTTATACAGATAACCTGCAATTCTGCTTGGAGACAAAAATATCTGTCATCACAGCTAGTCTTGCCATAAGTTAGTTAGTCACCTTTAAATTTAGGTGCAAATATTTTAACAGGGCTGTACAATTTTATATTGAAGAGTACCAGCCTGCAGGCAGGTTTCAAAATCTACTAGTTCAACATATTTACACATAGTGAATGTTAACAGTTTTCAATAGCCTTGGGCTTGTGGAATTTCAAATGCCTGTTTTCCATTCTAGAAAAAAAAGAGAATGCGGCATTCTTCCATTCTTCGTAACTCTTTGGACAACAAAATCTCCTACCATAGTTATTCAGATGAATTTCCCTTCTCTGCACAGCTCACCTCAGTAATGTTTACACTGGATTAGGCGTCATTCAGTTACCCAAGTATTTAATAAAGATTTTAGTTCTCTTATAGAATTTTTGTAGTAGTTTGATTATATCTGAAATGCTTTGGTGCCTATAAGTAATTTCAAGCATCTTCAATGAACTCTAAAAGCTAAAATAATGTTTTGTAAAAGGGCTTTAAGGTTGAGAGTTTCAGCATTTTTGTGGTGTATCTCCAATGAAGAAGAGTTCCAATTTTAGGACATGTTTCTGACATATATTTACTTGCCCATTTATGGTAACAACGGACAACATACGAAAGGAATACAGCAATGATGATTTCCCATTTCATCAAAAAACAATAGAACCCAGAGGGATCTTGGCGCCCACCATTGTACCGGCTTTATGAGTTCTTTGTCAGTGCAATCTTTTCTCTTCTTTTCTCTAATCTGTTTGATCGAGTCATGTTAACAGTAAATGCACCTTGAGGTAACTTTTGATCTAAACTGTGACTAGTTTTCTACAGGGTTCAAATCCCAGTAGCAGATTTTTAGCCCACCATCATCTAATCACCCTGTGGTCCGTGTCTGTCAGTGGTCTGTCTTTAAACAATTCTTGTTATCGCTATTTCTCAGGACGTACCAAAGGGATCTTTCTCAAATTTTATATGTAGGTTCCCCTTGGTCCCTAGTTGTGCAGGGCAACATTTGAGACTGATCGGATGAACAACATGGCCGACGGGCAGCCATCTTGGATTTTGTTAGTGAAGGTTTGTTATCACTATTTCTCAGGAAGTACCAGGGGGATCTTTCTCAAATTTATATATGTAGGTTCCCCTTGGTCCCTAGTTGTGCAGGGCAACATTTGAGACTGATCGGATAAACAATATGGCCGACAGCTCAGGCAGCCATCAAGGATCTAATCAAATGTGCTAGTGACATTATATTTGTTTTGCTAACACTTTCTTTCAATCACATCACTAGGAATAATTTCAAAACGTTCGAACTTCCAAAAAAGGCCTGCAGACTATAATTCACTTTTTTAAAAATACCGAGAAAATAGCATGTTTAACAGGAAATTATTTTTTAAATGTGTATATCCTGTAGAAAAGTTGTTGGACATTCTTTCTCAATTGAGATGTAAGAGAGAAGAACTAGAACCTTTCCGGGGTCCGGAGGACAGAACTTAACTATAAAAGTGCACGGTCTAAAAATTAGTTGAATCTCTTCAGGTCAGTCCTAGCATAATAACTAGCGTTGGGGACGTCTTTTTAAAAAAAAACACCATTAAACAGTTTGTCATTATTACAGATGAATAATTGGAAAATGATAGCTTTGACACAGTGGCTTGATACAATCCTGATATATTACCGAGAAGATTCTTTTTTCATGGATATAAATAATTCCAAGCATTTCAAGTTCTGAATGAAAATGGGATTAGAATCCCTAAGAGCTTGTAAATAAGTGAATTGTAAATGGCCTTTAAAATTCGACAGTTTTCAAGCTTTAGAGAGACAGGAATACATATTGATTAATTGTTAGTATCCGATATAATAGAAAAGGGAAATTACAAAAGGTCATTTCTCAAAATGCCAATCAAAGTGCCAGTCAACATTTTAAGTACAGCTTTCTGTATGCACTCAAGACCTACTAAAAGTACCATACTTGATCTATTTATAACAAGCCTGTGTCATATACATATTACATACAATGATGAGTAATAGGTATAGGTACATTGCGTTAAGCTGTCACTCTGTCACATTGTAACAGCTAGCTATATAGGTCCCACTCACAAACACATCAATGGCCTTCAATAATTTAAAATTAATGACTAGCACTACACATCTACAGGAACAAGAACTTAACAAGCAAAATAACTTCACAACATCACTTTTAGATACATACAAACTTGGCAAGAACAGCTAGAGGAAGTTTTCCTGGATAAAATCCAAATCCTTTTAAAAGCTAGACACGTTCTTTGTTGGTTGTTGAAAAGTTGGTCTTCATTCACTTATTGAAAAATGAAATTTAAATTCCAGAATATATCAAGAAATGCCGTTTTATGGTTGATTTGCTGTCTGTGTGTCCTACGGTATACCCAGTGCTACAGCTCGCTCGAGAGTGTTCTGTCTACAGTGTGTACAAGCTTACGACTGACAACAACAGGAAATGGGTCATCGATGTCAGGTTTATTTCCAGGTGAATCAAAAAAGGAGGCCTCCCCAGGGTATTGACAGTCTGGATAAGCCTTCCCTCACAAACCCCTGCTCACCCTACCTGTGGATGAGACCTCGTTACAGGTGCGACCGTACAGGTGCAGATATAAGGTGTAATACTGGGGTGTTTTAACTGCCCAATCTCGACACCGTCCCCTAGACAGACCCTTCCAAACGTCGGCGGATGCTCAGTGGGATTTTTATTAGTGTGAAGTGGAGAAAATCGATATGAAATGTAAACAAAATGTTTCCTTCACAGAATTAAAATTACAGTATATTTAAAACAGAAAGAAAAGATGGTGTGTGTATATATATATGAATAAGTATCATAAAGTTATTTTTTTTTACCAGACTTCAATGCAAAACAACATCATGGCTACCCTGCTATTTCTTGACAGGGTCTTGTGTCATGAAAGAATTTCTGATAAGATTTTGTTTTCATTCATAAAACAGTTCAAGATGGGATTTTTTCTATGACAGTTCAAAAAAAATCTTCCAATATCATATGTCACTTGGAAAAACATTAAGAATAAGAATTAACCTTATCCAATCTACGATTTAGAGAAGTGAAAATGGAAAAGGCTCAGCTCTGCAGGAAATTAGGTACAAATTGTAGGCAACTTGACAAATAGATGTTACTGTATTGGCGTGTCATTGTGAGCTAATATATAAGATAGAATTGTGTCTTGTGTTTAACTATGTACAGTTTCCGACCTCAGTAAGAATAGAGTCTTTGTTTTTGAGATAGCCTCATCTGACAGGTACCCGCTCCCTGTGCCTGGGAGTGGCAGTCTGACACTGATACAAACAAGGAACAATTTGTTACACGTTTCTACATAGACCACTGATAACACATAGACTGCACCAATGGCAATTCACCAAGTATTATCATAGTGCATTTTGTGTACACATAATAGAACTTGTAAAGCCTGACCAAGCCTTTTTGTTATCACAAATATTTTTTCTCAATTTTTCTCCAGTTATGTTTTTCTCTTAGAAGGATTTTGGGAGATGGGTTAAATGATCGACTGATTGGGCTTCTTGTCCTATCTCCTGTGATAACCAAGCCTAGGACAGCGAGGGGCTCAATACCTTTCTCCTGTTATAACTTAGCCTAGGACAGCGAGGGGCTCAATACCTTTCTCCTGTTATAACCAAGCCTAGAACAGCGAGGGCTCAATACCTTTCTTCTGTTATAACCAAGCCTAGGACAGCGAGGGGCTCAATACCTTTCTCCTGTGATAACCAAGCCTAGAACAGCGAGGGGCTAAATACATTTCTCCTGTTATAACTTAGCCTAGGACAGCGAGGGGCTACATACATTTCTCCTGTTATAACTTAGCCTAGGACAGCAAGGGGCTCAATACCTTTCTCCTGTGATAACCAAGCCTAGAACAGCGAGGGGCTAAATACCTTTCTCCTGTTATAACCAAGCCTAGAACAGCGAGGGGCTCAATACCTTTTAATATGATTACCTTGGTAATACATATGTTAATATAATTCAAATGTATTTCAACACATTTTTACTGTTTGCAAACATTTCAAAACTTTTCTAAAACATTTTCAAAACCGACAGTCACAAATGTAAATAAGTATATTTGAATACATCTCTGATAAAACTCTTACAAGACTCACAAAAGTATAAATCTTCAATTTAATAAATTCTGAAAAAATGTAACCAAATTGTCTTTCCTTGATTAAAATGGAACTGTCATTCCTCCTATAAATAAACGATATTTAACTGTTCATATGATTACTTGTAATTACTGCAGTAACTAATAATTATCACAGACATGAATAGCCACTAAATTAGAATTTCAATGACAAAATCAAACAGAAATTTTAAAAAAAAGCAGAAATCAAATATACACTAACTAATGAAATTGTTGCAGGATTAGAAATTTGGATTTATTTTTACACACAGTAAAAAAAGATATCTACATAAATATCACATATTTATGCATATTTCCGTTGCAGTAGGTACATCAATATCAGATTTCCTAAACTATCACCTGTACAGGTGTATTTACTATAAAAAAATGATACCTGTTATAACATAATGAGCACACTTGTCATACTTTATAGCTGTAGTGCTAAGACAGATAGTCCCAGTGCTCTGTGTTTATATACATCCCCAATGAAGAAGAATTCAAAATGTGTTCTATATTTTCTGACAATGAGTTTCTTACCATTTCACTTTATCAAAAGGTAATACATATATATATTTTTTACCCCACAAAATTAACTGCAATACATTGGGATATGATGTTTGAACCTCTACATTTTTCAGCAGGGCTGGGAGCTTATCCACAGTGCATGCACTACCAGTGATGATATTAATTACGTTAATAGTTTTCTGCAACACTATTTGGAATTTAAAAAAAAAATAGACTCCCTGTTAAGACTGCAATCTAGCATTGTCCTTCTTTAAGTAGAAATAAGTAGGAACTGCTGGATCTACCCGAGACAGGTGAGTGAGCATCAGGTGTTGTGTGACACCTGGTACAGCAAAACAAAGTACAACAAACCGGTTAACGACAAACTCTAGTTTACGATGAGGTCATCTTTATACACCTGATAAGAAATGAACATCCCACCCTCGTAATACACTAGACTTACTTCCCCTTGAGTTTGTTATTTTACACCAACACATCTATACTATATCATTCCACAACTTGAATTTGCAGTCTGACCACTTTAACTAAGCCCTATTCCTAGGTACTGTTTTTATGTGTTCAATTTGCAGCATTAGCGTTTGAGAAACACTTTATGTATCTGGCAATAAGCCCACCAATAAATATATACTGAAACACATTATGTTCTCATTGTCCAGTAGATATATCAAAATACTATACAGAACTAAGTGTTTCTGATTTTTTAATTTTTCATATTCATATATCGTTCTGTTCTGTAGAAATGCTCACAAATTCTAGACGGGTTGCACAAAACCATACAAATTAAATGAGAAAGGATTTTTGTTTTGTTTTTGAGACATGAATGAGGAAGACTTTTATTGAAATCCTTGGATCCATGCTATCTCTATACTACTGCAGTCGGTGTTTACTATTATCATCACAGAGTAAACAACTAGAGAAAGAGGGTGATTATCTGTAATCTCTTTATTGCCCTAATATATCTCTGGCAGCCATCCATCTCCAATGTCCACAAGTAATGACCCTGTCCCTATCTGTCATTCTGGCCACGACCATTTAATTACAGTTTCATACTGGACCACAGATAACCAGTGAGCAGGCTTGTACCAATCAATACCAAGGTGAGGGGTTCACTATTCATATACCAGTGTACTTCTCGAATAGGAAGTATATATACCACTAGAGATTTGTTTTTTTGATCAAATACATGTTAGGCATAATATATTAAATAGCTGATAGGCATATCTGCTGGACATTGATCTGCAGCTAGTATTTTACAGGAGTGTCAAAGAAAAAAGGGCCATAATGAGATGAATAAATTACATTTGAAGGTCCTGTTTACATGTTTTACAAACCTTCAAGATGTCAACCAGTCTAACCAATACCACCAACCCCTATACCAGACCAGCATACCATATCATTCAAACTCTGATTTGACTAAAATCTCTATCAAGGTAAAACCAGAGATGCTGAGAGAGCTTACAAAAGATATAGGCCCCGCTTGTGCATACAAGGTTTCTGGAGTAGAAAATTAAAGTTTCAAGAGTCACAACTCCAGAAAAAGTAGTTGAATCGCAAATTCTCTTCAAGCACATCTACATATGATGTACTTTAACCGTGCCAAGTTACAAACAAATCAAACACACTGTGGAAGGAGGAGTTGCACTTACAATGTTTCTGGAGCAGAACCTATCAAGGGCCATAACTCCTGGAAAACAGTCACATTGAAAGTTTCTGTCTTCATGCACATCTACATCCAATTTACTTTCAGTGAAAAGTAACAAAATTGTCCAACACTTTTTAGGAGGAATTGTGCTTATAAAGGTCAAGGACAAACAGACAGGGTGATTCCTATATATATACCCCGCCCCCCTGACCTTTGTTTTAGGGTTGGGGGTGGGGGTGGGTTGGGGGGTATAACAATGACAGCAACAACAATAAGAATTGAGAGTGGATTTAGACATTTTTGGGGGAAGGGGGTCAGCATAAACAGCAGGAAGTCTTGGACACTGTCTGTTGTTACAAGTCATTCTTTGTTTCTGTAAATGGCTACCAAGGAAGAAGTAATTCAATACCAAAGGTATTCAAATTAACAGGTTTAAGTAATGTTATCTAGGCAAGGGAAGTATTACATTCAGACACCCTTTTCCTTCAATCCATACTTCAATACGTCTTTAAAGTACAAGTAAAAAATACACATCTGCTATACTTATCATAGACTCATGCTTTTAAAAGTCATATTTTGTCCTCCTACGACAATGGATTTGTCTTCAAGCCTCTTGTGTTTAATATTGATGTTTGATTGTATACATGTGCTGGGTTCACATTAACAGCCAGTTGCTTGGAAAAGTAGCCTGCTATTCATCCATTTTGAACCGGACATTTTTTGTCTGATTATATGTACATGTCATAAGTCAACATTATAGCATATGCTTGTGGACTGGCCTTCAACCAGCTATTCTTTTCAAGTCAACCACCTACTTTTAAAACTTAGCGAGAACAATGATATGTCAGTAAATATAAAAAAAAACACACCAAGAAATACAAAACAAGGAAGCAACATTTAAAATTTGAAAATAAAATGTAGAAAGGCAAACATTTTGGACTCAGCTGTGTTGCTAAATGTCAAAGTGAAAACCATGTGAAAGGTGTTCGGAAACATAATGATGTAGAATATAGCGAAAAGTAAAACGAGCCTAAAAAAACCTGCATTACTTCACAAATTTACAAAGTCTGGCTACAACATTCAAGTAATATTCATGGAAACTACTACAGTAAATTTGGACACAAGG